CAATGCAAGGAATATAATGACAATATTTACTTGCGTACATATATAAAGTGTTGTTCTAACGCTATTTCTACAAAAATGAGTGTCTAAACCTATCTCGGGGCACTAATAAAAAATGTTGGAAAAGCAATTTTACTTATAAGCCTTGCCCTAACCTTAACCTTTCACCAACCCTTACCCTAATATTAATTAAATATTAAAAAATATATAAACACACCTGGCTTTAGCCATCCCCGCGATATGGAAATGATCTGCTAATATATTAGAAGGGTATTCTAAACCCGATTTCAATTAAAAAAACAAAAACATTTTTTATTATTTGAAAATAACCATCAGTTTTAAAAAATCCTTTAGAACTTTCAAAAACTTTATATTAACTAAAATTTAAACCTTAATATCTAGAGCTTCAATCTTATTTTTGACAAGCAATCTGGTTTTTACTAAATTCAGATTAAATCTGTATTAAATTATATATAAAGCTAGCCTTGTAGCACATCCTTAGATAATTCAAGTTCTTTGACAAATCCAAGTAAAAATCTCTGATCTGGGTATCTGAATTTATCTGGATTTAAAGATAAATTCAGATAGTCAGATTAAGAATCTAAGCTCTATTTATATCTAACTCTAATCTTGGCTTAAAATTGTACACCAAAGAGTGGTAATTTTATCTTTGATGAAATGTAGCTATTTTCTTTTTATAAAAAAATATTATTAGATCGATAGTACTTTATTGTAAAATAGAAGTAAAACAAGTTAGTTTCTGCTTTAATATTTGGTGTAAACAGTTTATATTTAAATACCAATTAAGTAACTAAATAAATTAGAGATTAATAAAATTGTATAGCGAGTTGTAATTAAAAGTAATAAGTTAATAGCTATCAATAAAGTACTAATATAATCTTCTAAAAAAAATTATTTGAAGCAAAGATAGTAAATAATTCAAATAATCCAAATAACAAATAACTGGTTATTGGTCATTTCAAGACCTAAATAATCTTAGATTATTTAACATAATATTCTAATACTTTTTAACCAATCAGAATCAAAATTAAATTTTATAAACAATTGAATCTTTGAACCTTAATTAGTTAATTCAAACAAATTGGTTTAGTCGAAGATTGATCCTTGAAATTGAATCCAATACGAATAAACAAAATTAGTAAATGATGTTTAACGTATCATATCCTATATAGGTTCAAGTCCCAAATAAAATAAAAAAAAAAACTAAATTAACAAGTATTCCAGAATATTTTTGAGAAAGATATTTCTAGCACTATTAATATTCCTATCTAATTCCAAATTACAACGTTTATATTTGAAAATTCTTGATCCACCTAATTTATTGTTAAGTTCTTCACAATAAGTACAGATTTTTGATATGTACTCTTCAGTACAGATAATAATCTGATTGTTTGGGTATTCTTGAGATTTATGAAATAGAAATTGTTAGAATCTATAATGGGACCAGATCAGTAATTTTCTTGCTATCTTTCCATTGATCTTTCTCTTTTTCTTGTTTACTATATCTTGGCTCTCGAACTTTGGTAAAAAGATAGTAGAATAGTTATCACAAAGATATTTTTTCAATTTATGATGATACTCATCGATGAGATTATGAATCTTTTTAACAATTCGAAATATCTTCTTTCGAAGTTTAAATCTCTTTCTCTTATTCTCTCTTTTCAGAACCCAGTCTCTATCAGACTAGTATTTATCGTATATTGCACAGAGTTGCAAAATATAATCAATATCATCAACCCCGTAACAAAAACCATGACCCGAAGGATCATATCCTGTCATAAATATTCTAACACTTGGATCCAACGTGATGATACCTTTCTTTGATCTATATTTGTTAATAGAAATCAGAATCAAGAAATACTATTCTCCTAATTTGTTATACATGATCTCGAAATTATGTTCGATTTCTGGAAGTGGTTCGTTGGTGATAATGTCTTTGATAAAAGAATACATTTCTTCAAAATGGTTTCAAACATGATGCTGAATCGGTATTGTTTGTAAGAAATTCTTTTTCAAATGAAATTTCATCTCAAACTTAATCTTTTTGGTCTTGAAGACTTTGATACAAGTTTTGTAATTTTTAACAAATTCTTGCATAATATCGTTACGAATATCGGCTGGAGTTTCAACAATCCATAATAACCCAGTATTCAAATAGTTACAATTATTGACAACCTTATCATGAAGAGACTGAACTTTCAATTCACAAACTCCTTCGTTGATGTAATCTAAATATTTATTATAGACGAATCTACAGGTGTTTAACCATTTTGTGAGAATTTTTTTCACCTCTTTGGTTGGGTAAATTCGTATCTTTCTGGTCTTGGTTTTTTTAGTTTTCCTTTTTTTACCAAATCATTTGATGACTTTTGGACCTTGTATTTTTTCGATTTCGATATTTTTAAGAAATGAAGTATATTTTTCGTATAAATCTCTTTCTTCAATAATTTTGAACCAAAAGCTTGCATGTGTTTCGGATTCTGAATATTTTGGATTACATTTCTCAATGATACCAGGATTATTTGATAATCACAAGTCATCAGAAATTGTTTTATATTGACTATTCCAGAAAGGTTTGAGAATTTTATCATCTTCCTCTTTTCATTTTCATTTTTTATTTATTATAAGGACTTGAACCATCAAAGGATATGAAAAAACAGCTTATTTATAATTGACAAGGAATATTGATCATTCAGATAACATGCAGAGATTGACAATCAACATTCCTCATCAAAATTATACAAAATTAAATTATATACTTACTGTTTGATGAATAAAATCACCAAAAAATAAATAATAATATTGATAAACATATAATAATATTAAAAAATTTACCTACCATTGACTGATCTATACTAACCCTAAAAATTATATAAAAAATTTTTTAAAAGTTTTATAAACAAAATTTTTAAGATATTTTTTAAAAAAATTTTTTGCTAATCACTAATTTGCAAATTTTATTAACTAATTGACGCATTTTTTAAGAGGTTTTTTTTTTGAGTTTGGTTAAGATTTAGGGTTATAATTTTATTAACAATTTCATTAAATTTTAGACTATAGTTTTGATGCGAATTGTAACTTTAATTCAGAATTTAAATTAAGAAAATAACACGCAATATTTTGTATTGATGACAGTTTTTAGCCTTAGAATAAATTAGTAGTATTTGGTGATACTCTTTATTGCTTTTTTTGTAAATTTTTGATGATTTTATCGTTTGCTTTTGGTAATTGATTTTTTTCAGTTTAACTTTTTTAGATAATTTTGGGTTTTACAAATTTCTACTAATTGTGAAAAGGGTATCTCTAATGCTAGTGCTATTCGCTTTTGCAGCACTTCAATATGCTGCTTTTATTACTCAAATTTTTTCGCTTCTCGAACAGATATTGATTATATATCAAAAAATGCCTATTATTTGCTAAAAATAATCACTATGCAGTTACTGAAACAGGGGCTTATTAACGCCAGGTACAGTAGCCATCAAAAGTAATGCCCGATTTGCAGATCACTATATGTGACCAAATAAAATGGCTGGTGATAACCTCTTATAACGTTTCCCCCAAGGAAATTTTTTTTTACCTTGTTTCTCGACTTCTGAATAAGCAATAGGATAGAAAAAAAGTCTAAAAATCTAACTCTAATTAAACTATATAAGAAATAGAGCATACATACACAATAAGTTACTGGCTTTTTAAACAATAAACAAGAACTAAAAAAAATAAAATTTTTATCGTGGTTTAGGCGTTTTTCGGTCCTCAAGAAGCAAAAAAAAA